CAGTGAGAATGATATTGACATCGCATGGTCCAAATGGAAGGACACTTTCCTTGCTGCTGTTGATACATATATTCCGAGCAGGCAAACTTCACGAACCTACACACACCCTTATTTTACAAGAGAAATTATCCACATACTTCATCAGAAAGAATCACTAAGAAAACGAGCAAAAAAGTCTAATTCGGCATTGCTATGGCAAAAATTTCGTGAACTACGAAGGTCAGCTAAACGCATGATTAAAACCAAAAAGCGTGATTATATAAGGAACCTTGCTAATACGATAAAATTTAATCCTAAACAATTTTGGAAATTTTTCAAATCGAAATCAAACAAATCAACATTACCTGATACCATGACCCTAGCTGACTCGACATTTAAATCATCAAGTGATAAAGCGGATGCTTTAAACAAATTCTTTGCCTCTGTATTTCTTCCTCGTCCCCAAAACCCATGTTCCCCTCCATTAAGCACTGTCACTGTCCCTGTAACTCCAACTGCGTTTTCTGATGTTTCGGTTGAAGAAGTTTGGCGTCTGCTAAATAATCTATCCAAATCGAAAGCTATGGGTCCAGACGGGATTTCGGCAAGGTTATTAAAGGAGTGTTCGGAAGTCCTTGCTCCGTCTCTTACTGCATTATTTAATAAATCCATTGCTATCGGCAAGGTTCCTGCAGATTGGAAGTATGCAAACATCGTTCCCGTTCCCAAAAACAACAAAACTCATACTGTCAGTAATTACCGTCCAATTTCATTATTGTCTCTCGTGTCTAAAGCTCTTGAGCATGTGGTCCATAACCGAGTCTTATATATTGTTAAACCTCTTCTTCATGACCAACAACACGGCTTTCGTTCGGGAAAATCTTGTATTACTCGGTTTCTTGACGTTGTTTACAACATTGGCAAGGCGTTAGATTGTGGTAAAGAAATTAGCATGATCTATTCAGATTTTTCCCAAGCTTTCGATTCGGTACCTCACAATAAACTTAATTTTTAAACTCTCCCAATTTGGTATTACTGGGCCGCTCTTAGACTGGTTTTCTGACTATCTGTCTGCACGTAAACAGCGCGTGGTTGTTGATGGTTTCTCATCAAGTTACCTCGATGTAACATCTGGTGTTCCTCAAGGCAGCATTGTTGGCCCATTGCTTTTCATGATCTACGTTAACGACCTTCCTAACGCAGCAAAACACAGCAAAGTAAATGCTATAAAATCATAAACAATCCACACGACTCTAATCTCTTCCAATCAGATCTTCAAGCCCTGTGTCTTTGGTCTTCTACGTCGAAGTTAAAGTTCAACTAGAAGAAATGTTCTGGAATAAGATTTTCACGCAAACGTTGTATTGAGTCTCCCGACTACTTTTTATGCTCCAGTCAGATCCCTTTTCAATCAACTCAAAAGGATTTTGGTATACTTTGGTATACTGCGAATAACCTAAAATGGTCGCCTCATATTTCTAACATTGTTTCCAAAGCAAACCGCATGCTTGGATTTCTACGACGTAACTGCACTTATTTTTTTATCAGTGAAAATGAAGCAATCTGATTGGCTGAGGAGCCTTTCAGAGCGGGCCGGTTTTTTGCATCCGGCCCGCTCTGAAACGCAACTGCCCGCTGTGAAATGCAACTGCCCGCTCTGGTTTTCGCGGCAAAAACTGAGGAGTGAAACAATTTTTAAACGAAAAAATCTGCCAAAAACGTTTGAAAAACATAGCCTAACGATAGTCAGAATACGAACATGAATTGCATCAAGCCCTAAAGGCTTCATACTAAGCACGATGTTCACGAGAATTGACAATATTTTGATAGAAATGCGACTGAAAGTCGGAAAGTATTTGACATGTATAAAACTTACGTCGAGAAAACTATATATTTTTTAAATGCTCATGTATTCGGCCACTTAAAAGCGAAAAATTAGCTTAAACAGATATTGTAAAATAAATGTTTTCCCATTTATAAAAGAATGTTTAACTGCAGCAGTGAAAGCAAGTCACGAATATATTCTCAACCCATTTGTGTCATGTATTTTTCACTGATATAAATATTGTAAACAAAGTAAAAGTTTGTTTTTAAAAACACTTTTTTCAAGCATATTATCATGAAACGACAAGAAAAAATACAAAAATATAAAAATAGCATACCTTTTTCATTGTCTTTTTAGTAGAAAAACGTTAATTAAATAAAAACAGATCCATTTTTATATGTTTTTGATCGGATCTGAACATGAACCTGTCGTTGTCAGGAGTAACTTGTCAAAGCCAAAGCCAAAACGCCAGGCATAAAAGTTTCTATTCCAAAGCTTCTCTGCTACCATATTCATGAAAAGAGCATGTACATTTTTACTAAAACTATACGTCTTTTTGTGTGTTTCTTGCCAGTTTTCTCGAGTTTTCGTATTCGTGTTTTATATCTTTTAACTTTTCAATTTTTGTCAGCCTCGCTTTGAAAAAACACAACTGCACTGATCTCAAATTAGTTCGCAAGCAACACTGGAATTTTAATCAACTTAATTTTTACATCTGATAAAAAATAAACACGTTAGTTACCGGCAGCGTCGGTCCGGATGAGCAAAACTGTGCCCTCGATCTTGAAAACGTCCCTCGCCCTTCGGGCTCGGGCCATTTTCAAGACCTCGGGCACAGTTTTTCTCATCCGGACCTTGCAGCCGGTAAATAACTTATTTTTATTTAACTGATATAAATTGTCGACGCTCTCTCTATTTGACACTTGTTCGTACACACCTGTGCTATGGCAGTGAGTATTTTCATGTATGGCTGGACTTAATTTGGGACTTTATTAGTCCTGTTGTCTATTCGTTCAATTTCTTATTGTAAAACTAATAAAAAAAAAATTAAAAGTAAACCACAATTTCACAGGCAGTGATATTAACTTGTATTCCAGTCTGCATACACCTAATACATATAATCAATTCTTGGGTTTCACTATGGCATTTTGCACATTCTGACAGAGGGTCAACCTAAAATGTATTGATGCTTATGCTGTACTGGAGTGAGCAAATGATATGAAATTGCATGTATTTGCCACCAAACACAAGGCCAACACATACAGTGAAAAATTAATTCACTCTGATGACTGTGTTTCGATTTAGAGTTGACCCCCTGTCAAATCTATAAATTGTAATAATGTCATATGAAACACAATAATATACAGCATAATATTACAGCTAATTGTAGCAGAAAGTACTTAATGATTTTAATTTATTGAGTAGTACAATATGCCAAATTGGCAATCCCTTCATTAATCTTGTCCACACAGTAATTCAAACAAGCCTTGCCCTCTGTACGAGGTTGTATTAATTGGATTCTGTCCAAGAAAACGTGATAAACCTTTTGATCCAAATGTTACAAAGTATGAATTCCAGATTGGGAGACCCTATAAATATTTTTAATAAATTCATATACTTTTTTTTAAGAAATGTTCTATTCACAAAAATATTAAATGATAGTGATCAGCCACCAATACCAGAATTCATTTTCATCAGCTTCCCCCTGGTTATAATCCCTTGCAGGGAACCACCTAGGGTGCATGTATAATTTTGTGATGAATGATAAAAAATTGCCCAATATAAATGCCGAGCCATAGAAATATTTTTATTACCATGGTCATTACAACTACCCTGTCAGTTTGATTGCAATATCAAAACTTGTTATTTACACTATAAAACAACACATACCAGATCTGAAAGGCTTCTTGATAATGCATTTAAATATTGCAAGTTTGATCAAACATATCGATCAACTAAGAATTAATTTAATAGATAAGCCTTGCCACATTTTGAGTGTTAATGAAACCAGACTAAGTGATGATATAAACGATGGCGTTGTTAAAATAGATGGTTATGAAATATTCCGGGCCGATAGAAACCGAGCAGGTGGTGGAGTTGCTTTATATATCAAAACAGCTATAAATGCAAATTCGAGACAAGATTTAATTCCAGATGGTCTAGAAGCAATATGCTTGGAAATTAAAAGAACAAAAAGCAAGCCATTTTTCGTTATTAGTTGGTATAGACCACCAAATAGTCCGGCTGAGATTTTCGACAAATTTGAACTAATGATTCGTAATCTTGAGGCGGAAGACAAAGAATATCATGTAGTGGGCGACTTAAATTGTAATTTGCTAGAGGCTGGAAAAAATGTCCATAGTAAACGACTCATAGATATCATGGACATCGATCAGCTAGAGCAAATTATAACAGAGCCAACCCGAGTCACAATTGACACGTCATCACTGATTGACGTATTTATTACAAACATTCCTCAAAAAGTAAAATTCAGTGGAGTGATTCGTCTTGGCATTAGTGACCACTACATGATTTATGTGGGTACCAAAGACGCAATCAGTAGACCGCCTCCTAAAATTGTTGAGACCCGATTTTTAAAAACTACAACAAATTTGCATTCAGAAGGGATCTGTTTTATACACTAAATTCGTCTAATATAGAAGCTGAACTAGACCCAAACAAAATGTAGGGAAAATGGAGAAATGTGTTTACTACTACCGCAGACAAACATGTTCATTAATAACGTGTAAAGTTAGAAGTCAACACACTCCATGGCTGACTAGTAAAATTAAGAAACTGATGAGTCATCGAGACTATTTAAAGCATAAAGAAATCCGCACTAAATCTCGGTATTTCTATGAAGCCTATAAAATTGCTCGAAACAAAACCAACAAAATAGTAGAGAAAGCTAAATCAAGGCATTTCCAACATACCATAAACAACAATAGCAACAACCTAAAGCAACTATGGAAAAGTGTCAACCTCATTCGAGGTAAAGGATCAAAAACAACTAATGTATCCACTCTAAAAATAGACGAAGAAACTATAACAGGTTACAAGAACATTGCTGAAGCTTTTAACTCTTTTTTCGTCAGTGTGGGTCCGTCGCTTTCGGAAAGTTTACCAGAGTCTCAAAAAGGCTATTCTGATTATGTTCAACATCACATACACAATACCTTTTCCTTTAGTGAGGTTAGTGAAAATGACACTCTAAAGTTGCTATGTGGTTTGAAAGAATCAAAGGCGGCTGGTCCAGATAAAATAAATGCTAAACTAATTAAGGATTCTGCTGAAGTAATCTGTCCTACATTGACAAAAAATTTCAACAGATCCTTGCAACAAGGTATCTTCCCAGAGGAACTTAAAACCGCTTTTGTCTCCGTCATCTACAAAAACGGTGACAAATCTGACTGTAGCAATTATAGGCCTATTTCGATTTTGTCGACTATTGCGAAAATTTTAGAAAAAACTGTCTACAATCAGTTAATGTCGTATATAAATGAGAACAACATTCTGTCTGGTAACCAATTTGGATTTCGAAAATCTCATTCAACTGTAACGTCGTTGTTAAATCTACGGTAATTGGCTCCTAAATATTGATAAAGGTCTTATAAATGGAATCTTGTTCCTAGATCTACGGAAAGCATTTGACACTGTTGGTCATATAATCCTAATTGAAAAGCTAAAACTGTATGGAATTGCAGGGAGTGCCTTGAATTGGTTTAAATCATACTTAGAAAAAAGATATCAAACATGTAAAATAAATAACGTTAAATCATCCAGAAAATTAATTAAATGTGGTGTTCCCCAGGGGTCAAATTTAGGACCCTTCCTATTCTTATTATATGTCAATGACCTGCCAAATTGTCTTGATCAGGCAAAACCTTCGATGTTTGCTGATGATACTAATATCTCCGCATCTGCGGAATCCGCAGATGAATTGGAGGAAAAATTAAACACCGATCTTAGTAATATCTATCAATGGCTAGTGGCAAACAAATTAACACTTAACGTTTCTAAAACAGAATATATGATTATTGGCTCTCGAAATAATCTAAGTACTATTTAAAGCACGCGTAGGAGTGTTTTATCATATTTAAAACGCGAGGCGCAGCCGAGCGTTTTAGATATGATAAAACACTCCTACGCGTACTTTAAATGGCTTAAACTCCGACTACAAAAGAATACTAATTAAGATGAAGCGTTATATAAACATACTAATGAAGATGAGTTTTATCACATATAACGCTACGGCACGCTTGTGATTTTTCTTTGTGTTTTCCTCATGAATTACTAATGAGGAGTTTAAGTAAGATTAATGTGGATCCGACAATTAAAATTGGCGGCGAATCTATTAATAGAGTTAAAACAACAAAAAGTCTTGGCGTGGTCATTGACGATAAGTTGAAATGGGAGGACCACATTGACAGCATCAGCAAAAAAGTTTCAAGCGGAATAGGAGCGATAAAATCGATCAAGCCTTATGTTCCAAAGGATTGCCTAAATCAGATTTATAATGCTCTTGTGACCATATTTTGACTATTGCTCTCTAGTATGGCAAAATTGTAAACTAGAGTTGCAATTGAAACTTCAAAAGCTTCAAAATAGGGCAGCAAGAGTTATAACTGGAGATAATTGGGAGATTCGTTCAAAAGATGCTCTTAGCAAACTGAATTGGCAACCACTAAACCAGATAAGATTGGTTAAGACGCTCTTATTTATGCGCAAAATTCTAAAAAATGAAGTTCCGATCCTACATCAATATCAGACCAGTTTCACATTTCAGTAAATGATCAATATAATCTACTCAGTAATTTTACTATGCTGAAACAGGCAAAACCAAGAACAAATGCACTGCAGCGAAATTTTAGCTACCATGGTGCAAAAACTTGGAATAATTTGCCAACTGAATTGAAAAATCTCACGATCTCTGAGAGAGTTTTCAAAAATAAATTACAAATTTCATTCGCGAAAATAATTCATTTTTGAACAATTTTTCAAGTTACCAGTGACTGCAGCTATAAAACATCTTTTTCAATAAACTGTTAATAAGAGTATATGTTTTTGTCGGGTTTTTTATGGAATATTATAAATGTAATAATGTCCTGTTTATGCATGATATTTACTATAATTTAGTAAATTGTTGTTCTACTGCTTAGCTTAAATTTCTACACCGCCTTATGAAAAGCAACCATTTTAATTATTTGAAAGTTTATCACTATCAGAAAACGCTATATATTTTTAGTAGAAATAGGTTGATAAACAACCGTGTATAAAGATTTTTAAATAAATAGATAAACATACCTACTCTGAGAAGGGGAGGGGCAACAAAAACTCATATAGTTTTTTCCATTCCTATCCAATTCAAATCATGCTGGCCACGAAAACAATTTCCCGATTGCGATACAATAAATTGCCAAATGCCTGACAATTTGGGCTAGCGACGCCCCTGAATACTACAATGATAGCAACCTCTATTGTGATTATATCTCCAACCTTGAATGTCTTATTTCAGGGTTCGTACGGGTCCTGGAAAACCTGGAAAGTCATGGAATTTCAATATTCCAAAAACCAGGCCTGGAAATCCTGGAAAATCAATTTTAGTCATGGAAAGTAATGGAAAATTGAAATTTTACATAACATTAACAAAGTATTTTAAATATTTCAATTTACCAGTCATAACATTAATATGAATTGTTGTTATATAACGGATTTTGCAAGAGCGAAGTGAATGTTGTTCTTTTATTATATCTGTTATCGTTAAAATATTAACGAATTTCAGAAATTGCAGACTTCCAGGTCATGGATTTTGAAAAAAATGGTCATGGGAAGTCATGGAATTTTAAATGCGAGAAGGTGTACTAACCCTGCTATTTAGTACAGTAGTTAATTAATTAATGGCAGTAATCAACATGAAGTCAAGTACATTTCCGGCCATTGATGAGAAATATTGTCCAGAAGTACAGTGAAATTAAATAACAAAATAGGATGCACTAAAGAGTATTGTGGCTTAATGATCTAATAAGATAATTAACCAAAGATAGGTAGACATGCAGATGGACTGGTTAACCCATTCAAATACCAAGTCCAATACTTTCCCCTTCACGAGAAAAAATTCTGGCGTTAAACAGCTTAAAATAACAAAGTAGGGCAAAATGAGGCACATTTCAGCCTAACTTGCTCCAACTCTATCATTACAGACTGTAAATCTTTAATAGTAATTCCTATCCAGACACAAAATTTGATTGTAATTCAAATTAATCAATAATTTGAAAAGTGCTGTTGCATCCCTAACCTACTAAACTGCTGGCAAATATTAAACATATAAGGAAAGCTATAAGGGCGGTTAAAAATATAACAAAGATTTAATTTGGTTTATAAACTGTTAATTTCTAGAGATGATAACACAATATAAACAGAGAATTCACTATATTCATATTTTTAATGATATGTTTTATAAGTCTAAATTCCTTTTAATATTCCTCTGATATACAAATCTTCTGAAAACTTTAATATTATCAAGGTTTATAACCGACTTTAATAATATTAGAATTGAGACTCTTTTCAGCTATTTTAATACTACAGTGGCATTAACACACAGTACATTGTAATTGTTTTTGTTCTTGAATTGCCTTTTCCATGCGCTTTTTCAACCATTAGAAACATAATAGCGTTAAACGGCTAAATTAAGCTGGAGGAACCACAAATGTCTCTACATTTAAAGCTTTTTCAAACTGACACAGAAGTGAATGAACAAGATTACAATTAATTGTGACATTTTTCTTCGACAACAGCACTCTTCGCGGCTCCTGCCGGCTCTATACTCACACGCAATATTTTCCTTATTCAGTCGCTAACACACCTTTTGTATCCCACTATGAAGAACATCAACATTTCCACCAAAACCCGAAAAAATCATCATTTTATAGACGAAACAATAGAATATTTCAAACAATTTGTTTTGCTTTTGCCAACGCATGCGCAGTTCGGTCGACATACAGTTTTCTGTATGTCTGATTCGGATTATCCGACAGCCTTCGTTTCCTTCCCTAGGATCGCAGGCTCAGGGAACGAGATTGGAAGAGCTATTGATTGGGTGTCAGTTCCAGACCCTTTCTATTGTTTTTGTCTGCGCGGTTAACACGAAGCTGGGCAAGGAGTGTGCCGAAGTTTTGCATTTTGACCTCGATGTAAAGAAAACACTATGGTTTTATGAACTGATAACTTCAGTTAGCGATACGATCCGTTATAGAACATGGTCTTTCGAGAAATAGTCTGGAAACTCCGCTAAATTCATTGTTCTATCTTTTTTTTCTAGTTTATGCACTTTTGTGGACGGTGCACGGTCAATGAACACGGTCATTCAACCATGCTAATAAACCTAAAACAAAGAATGTGCACGGTGTAAGGTACGGCTCAACATGAAATCCCAGCTCATTCAAACCGCTTTTAAAGTTTACTGAGTTTTCAGACCATATCTCGAAAGACTATAGTTAGAAAAAACTGGAATTCGCTGCTTACGACCTTCAAAGCTATTGGAAGTCAATTTCCACCATATTCGCTTCACTTTTCTCATTGACCGAATTACCGAAGTTCTTGCTCTAGATAAACATATAGAGGACACTGAATAGACCTAAAAAGATCCTATTAATGTCGCAATAGAAGATGCAGTTTGTTTAATTTAAATTAATCGCAACAAAAAATATTTTGAAGACGCCGTCAACATATAGTTTCGTTTCCCACCGAAGCTGGATAGATGCAGTCATATCAATACAGCAGTGGCGTAGCCAAGAGGAGAGGGGCTCTATTCCCCAATGAAAAGCCGAAATCCGGACAGGATTTTTTGGGGGAGGGGACGATGTGTGAAAATTGATACCCATCTCTTTTGTCTACCAATGCAAGTTGTACGTGTAGTCAGGATGGTCGAGCGGTCTAGGGCGCTAGACTCAAGGTACACACCTTTCCAGTTATACTGGAATATGGGCGTTCTAGTCCACGAATGTGAGCGTGGGTTCGAATCCCACTCCTGATACGTTTTTGTTTCATCGCTTTTTTTATTCAAAATCTTTTTTTTTTAGTTTACCGCTTATAATCACTAGTACGCGAGTATATTTTGAAAAACCAAGAAAAAATTAAAAACTCCGAATAAACGATGATAATTTTAAATCTAGTTACTCGCCCCAGTCTTTTCATCCGCTCTATTTTTCCTTGCAAACGCTGGCGTACTCTTGCGGTCGGAGTCCGAATTTTTTATTTTTTCTTGTCGCAAATTGAAACCGCATGTAACAACATTTAACGATATTTTAAAGCTAGTTTTTATGCAAACAAAATGTGCGAGAGCCCTCCATTTACGCGCTGGATCCATCATTCAAATTTGTCGACATACAGCATGTGTTAGACTTTCGCAAAGTCCTTCGTCTTTGGTTAAAACGAAGGAATGTTAAAGGAAGTAATTTCTTGAAGAGTAAGGAATTTGCGGAAGTCAATTGGCAATTCCAGCTTTTAATTTATGCGCGCAGGGGGCAGTGGCGGATTACTAGTTGCAGGGCCTATAGGCTAAGTAAAATTCGCGGGCCTTGAGATGGTATTCTCACGGCTATGGATGGTGTCACATCTCGTAGCAGGGTCCAGAGTCACATAATTCGCCCAACTAGTTGGAAATTTAAGATCTCGAAAATGCTATTCCGCTTTTGCTGGCCCCATGGCCTACTCCTACCATTAGCCATTACCAAACAGAGAGACTAAATTTAGTAAAATGTGAAAGCAGGTAATATGAAACCCGTGTATGATACGGGGCTTGACCGCTTGATAGTTATTAAACAACTCTTATAGTTATTTACATGAATTACATCAATAACCTTACAAAATTGATTTGCGGCATCTTTAATAATATCATGGAAGTCGATTTTGCATAAAACCTCCGCCTCTATACTCATTATAGATAGATTGTTCAGTTTCTGGTCTGTCATGGTAGACCTAAGCACATTCTTGATGCGTTTCAATGCCGAAAATGACCGTTCTCCTGAACAATTGCTCACCATTCTAGCGTTGGTCTATCAAGGGAATGACGAGATTTTGCAATTATTCCAATGTTTTTGAAATTTTCATTCTGTTTCTACCAAATTTCCCATGAATATGGAACGTATCGTTCTTACAAGTCGTATTTTTTTTGTTTTTATAATTGCTACTTTTCGGTAGGTAAATTACGTCACAAACTTGGCGCCAAAAAATCAAAAATAATCTATTGGGGAACTTATAAATCCATTTAGAAAAACAGACTAAGGATACTTTAAAACTGAAATGTGTTTCTAAATAGCACCACTTTATGGGAAGATATAGCGATAAAAATGTTGAAAAATCCGCCATACCGTTAGTAAAAATAGAACAAAATAGCGGATTTTTAGGTTTTTCCTATATAAACACATGGTAGCCTCGGTTTCTTTTGTTTCAACAAGGACGTTTAATCACGTATTTCCCTCATTACCCATACATACGCTTTTGTCTTCTAAATTTCCCCTTTGTGTTCTAAATTTCCCCTGCATGCTTGATGAGGGATACTTAGAAGATAAAAGCGTACCTCATTACCTCTCATTGGAGAGCTGTACCCATAGATATCTTATATACACTAGATAGTGCATCTAATTATTCTGAAATTCAAAAATTGAAGCCGTGATTGCAGTCTCAGGTCGTTCCCATGAAATTAGAAGATTCGTATGTTTTCTATTTCTTAAACAGGGAACTTAAACATTAAGTTAACCCTATTCCAATTTCGTTTTTAAAATATTCAAATGATGAAAATTATTGTTGTTTTTAAACGTTTATTAGCGAGTGGGAACGACCAACATGGCCGCTATCTATTCAAATGGGGGTAACCGCTGGAATATTGTTGGCTTCAATTTTACTAAAAGAGATGCGCTATCTAGTGTATATAAGATATCTATGGCTGTACCTCATCGAAAATCATCGGCACAACTATGGACAGTATCGGACGACACCGTCCCATACACATTCGAACAATCACTTTGCCAGCTTTTATTCCCTAATTTTGAACATTTCAATTGTGGGAGAAAATTCCGTTTATGCGCATGCCTAAAAAAAATGAACATGGAGATGTGTTTCTGCGCGTGCGTATATATGAAAAGTGTTCGTACCACAATCATAAGACAATCAAACAGCATTCAAAACAGGCGACACACCATGCGCGATTCTCTCGGCTACCATGTATTTACAAACTAAACGCATGCTTTGAGGGAAATTAGTGATTAAATGTCCCCGAAAACCTCGGAAGGTTTAGTAAAAGTCCCTCGGGCTACGCCCTCGGCCTTTTACTAAACCGCCCTCGGTTTGCGGGGAGATTTAATCACTAATTTCACTAAAAGCATGCGTTTACTTATAATAAAGCCGGGTTTTATATAGATAAAACCAGTGAATTCATAATTATTAACTCAATTATATTCATCAGCTCCACTTTTCCGTGGAGAGATATCAAATCCCTCCCCTTGCATTAAAATCTTACCCAAATAAACCCGACTGAGAACAATAGAAATCCGCACAAATTTGAACTAATGGTTATTAAATCTTTTTCCTAAAAGATGTTATCGTACTTCCACATAAATCGTAGAGCAACTGATACATCTTATTACATAAACTACACCCTCTGAACCACAACCAAAGGAATAATTTATCCAATACTTATTATTTCCATATTCATTTTTTTTCCATTTCCTCTACATAACAACTTATCTGGCATCTAGATTTCCCACACTTCTTCATACATTTAGCTTTATTAGCTAAATTTCAAGGGTCTTCTAAACGAAATGAAAGGCTTTTATCCTTAAGCACTTCTTTCATATGCTTCTACACGCATTTTTGGGCTGCTGTGGTTTTGTTCAAATGGATCGAAAATTCACATGCGAAATTGTTTATATATTTCATATGGGAAATTCAGAATGTTTATACATTTGAATTTGAGTTTCACATATTCTTTCCCATAAAAAGTTTTGCATTGGAACAGTTAGTAAAGGGAAGATTATTTTCCTAAATACAGGATTTTTGTAATCCAATTTTCCTGAGAGAATTTGTCACATGGACCATAAAGGGATCCGCCAGCGCCTCATGAGCATAAGGTCTATCATCAATGTTATGACAGATCAACCATGAAATAAATTTCCGAACTTGAAGATCGTGGAGCATGTCCAAGTTAATAGGATTTCCTTTTGAAATGTTTATCATTCGTTCAAGCGCAGAACCAAAAGGATGTTCACCTTTGGTCGAAATGAAGAAAGCAATCATACCTGCGACCTGAACATCAGATTTTTTTTTGAAACGTCCTTTCTCTTCTTTATCTACTATTTCAATTACTTCGGTGGGCATCCAATCTCGGGTTCCTTTTGCACCTGTACGAACTGTGGTTTCTTCTTCATTCAAAACACGACTTATTCCGAAGTCTGCCAATCTCATGTGACCTTCGAGATCAACCAAGACATTTGATGGTTTGAGATCTCTGTGCAAAATTTTTAGACTGTGAAGAAATTCAATTCCGCTTAAAATTTCTTTGATCATTCTTGGACCATGATCATGTAGATATTCCAATCTTTGAGCACAAACGTGTTCTTTTAATGTTTCTTCGCAGAGATCTAAAACTATATACACAAAAGTGGCGTCTTCTAAACATTTTCGATAACTTACTATAAATGGTGACTTGCTTGCATCAATTCGACTCAGAATTTCTAGCTCATTTTGAGCTGCATCAAACTCCTGTTTCAAGATCCTCTTTACAGCCACTTCAGCACCATCTTCCATGATACCAACATAAACAGATGTACCCATTGAACCCTTCCCAAGTATCAAAGATTTCTGCGGGGAAAAATACTTCACCGGTGATCCAACCTATGGTAGAAAAAAAAAAATATCACTATGACTGCATGACAAATAAAATAGTTCTACATCAAGTAGTTTTGAACTCGGAATCATCTCCGCTAAAGCGTGAAAAGATACAGAATTATTTAACCACGTCGAGAAACTTATTCAGTTGTTCCTTGAAAAAAGTAATGTTCCTCAATATATACTAGAAATACATGCATCAATCAACCGTCGCCTTTATTTTCCTGAACAGTTTTTAACAATATGAAATATTCTAAATTAAAGCAACTAATGAACGCAGATTCGCGTCATGTTAGCCATGGCAACAAACACGGGGGATGCGTTATTCTTACTGAAATTTTCCATATCGAACCAACTGCTTCACTCCTAATGATTTATAATGGTAATTGAACTGAGTGGAGTGCAATTTGGACTGACATCAACCGCGTTATTACAAAAACGTACGACCACGAAGCGGAAGTGGGATTTGTAATCACAAGTTTGATTTCAGTCCAAAATTCCACGACACGAAGTTCAATTTCCGCTTTATTATATTCATTTTGAAATATTAATTAAATATCTTTGTAAACCGGAAACGTTTTTGTTTGCAAAAGACACACCTCCGGTACCTCCCTGAGTGCTGTAAGTGTAGCATAGCAACAATAAGCGAACAAGATTAGATTAGATTAGATTAGATTAGATTAGATTAGAAATTTATTATCTTTCCCACAGAGGAGCTTTTCAAAGATAATTACAAAAGAAATGCAATAATATATATATATATATATATATATATATATATATATATATATATATATATATATATATATATATATATATATATATATATATATATATATATATATATATATATATATATATATATATATATATATATATATATACAGGAATATAAGTACCTAATTACTATTTTATAGACATACACATTACTATAATGAGTTTAAAGGTTTAAAAGTTTAAGTAGCTAAGAAGTCGCTGAGAAGTTTAATTCGAAGGCTTCTCTTAAAACTTACAACATTTGGACAAAGTTTAAACTTTGACTCCAGAGAGTTCCACAAGCTTACAGTTCTGTAATAAAAAGTCCTTTGGCCAGTGGCACTTTTAAATAGTGGAATGTTCAATTTCTGTGAACTTCTCGTGGTTCGCTGGCTAATGTCTCCACGCTTTACAAATTGTTCGGATCAGTGGCGTAACGCAACCGCTGGGGGCCCTCCGTCAATTGGCCACTTTGGGCCCCTTTGCTACACTAAAAATAGGCTCCAAAAATTTTTCTCGCAACAATTTATTTTTTGGCTTCCTCCCACAAATCACTTAAGCACTTTTCGGACATTGTACCATTTTAGGGGTCCAAAATTTTTTCCGGATATACCCAATGAAATTGCAATTAATTCATTCTAGTATCTCGTCCTTTACCTCAGCCGCGAGCAGAAATTTTTTTTGGGATCACTTTCTTTGGGAGCTTGGTAACCGCGCCTGTTATGATGCAATATAGGAAGCCTGTACAGCGGGAAATAGATTGCGGTCGAACACTTTGACGCGACTTATATTGTAGACCATTGTATACTTATTCCATAACCGCTGCGGTTTTGACGCATTATTCATCGTGCCTTTCCGAAAGCTTTGTATCCATAAATAAAATGTAATAAAAAGAAAACACATTACAATTTTTTTATAAAATGGATCAAAATATACCATAAATATCGAGATATTGAATATGCCAGTATAAAGGTCATAAGTTCGTGCGTATTCGAAATATAGACATATTATTTGCAGTTCATTTAAACTGATAGAAACGTTCAAACGTTCACATTCAAATTATTCAATTAGGTAAAATTAACTATGAATTTATTTTAAAAGATTCCCTGTTTGTATTATATTGTGCACTACTAATACTGTGACACTGTGTAAGTCACAGATAGTCTCGGTTGAAAACGTGATGTTTATGCAAACCACGCACTCTGATGCTTATAGGCGCACTGATGTCAAGTTTGTCATTGATTATCATGAGTATCAAAATTGACAAATCAAATTTGCCTGCGCGCAATGCAAAATGTGAACAAGACACGTTTATAGATTTTGCATTATCAACTGTAAGCTGAGGGCGATGCATAAATTCAGTTGTAGTAACTTTTAAATATTTCCCGCTAAAGGTTAATGATAATTAATGGTACTGATAGACTTTATATGAGTACCTGCCATAACCCCAAATTTACGTCAAGTGTCCCAACAAATCCAAATATGTACCCTGAATAAAAGTCGCGGTTACCAAGCCTCCCACGGAAAGTGATCCCCAAAAAAAATTTCTGCCAGCCGCAACGTACTTAATCCGTCGCAGCTTCGGGAAATTTCTCGACGGATTTTGCCTTTTCCAGAGAATTTTTTTTTTTATTCAATTCAATTCAATTAATTCAATTCCCCAGAAATGTGCTATCAAACTTTTTAAGGTCATTTTTGTTGGGGGCCCCTAAAGTTCGGGGGCCCCCCGTCTCTGGACACCCTGACACCCTCCCGTTACGCCACTGGTTCGGATAAGTAATCTGGAGCACAACCAGTCATGCATTTAAATGCCAAAGTGGCGTTTCTCAAATACAACTCGCTAGCTACAGGCAGCCATTTCAATTCCTTTAGTGTTGGTGTGACATGGTCAAATTTCCTTATACCACAAACTATTCTGCAAGCGAAATTTTGAATTAACTGCAGTTTCTCAATGTTACACTTTGAGATGTTACTCCATACATTGGAACAATAATAAAGATTAACAATAGTTATTATAGTTTTACTGCAACAATTGTTAAAATGTTAAGGAAATGAAGACATTTATTAAGAATAAGAGACAACACAAGTGAGTTTAAACATATTGTAGGTTTTGCGAGTGATTTGAAAGAGTTTTGGTGCAGTTTTGTGCATTTAAAATTGGAAAGGCGAATTTACCTTTGTGCTTTGTTTTCCCTGACGCTTTAAAAAATTTGATTTTTTGTTGGCGTTTTTGCCTGTTTCCTATTTGAGAAATTTCAAAATAAAAATATGAAGCGGGTACCCGATTAAACCAGCAAAGCCGGTTACCGAGCTAATATACTCTACATTATCTGCCCTTTTAGCCACAAATGACAACCAATAAATGGACGATTTTGAGATCCCGTTTCTGTTTTGCTCTACATGCAATTAAAAATATAATGTTACCTTTGTCAATTTTACGTTGTCCATTCCTTTTAAAATCTGAATTTTTTCATGATGTTTAACGGACTTCTTTAATTCCACATTCAAAATATTTCTGATCTCATTATTGCCACATGTTAATGGTTCCTTCTCTTTTCGTATATCAACGTTATATTTCAGTAATGTTTGAACTACGGCGGTATGACCTTTCTCGCACGCTATACGTAAGGGAGAATTCAATTTCCAGTTATTCAGGTCTTTAGTCGCTCCATGTTGGAGAAGGTAGTCAACAACAGACGCATTTCCACCTTCACAAGCCAAAAATAGAATTGTGGGCATGTCAAGATTTTCTTCATTTGTTAGTTTAGCACCATGTTCGACTAAATATTTTACAATTTCCAGTGAACCAGATGATACTGCAAAGTGAAGAGGACTACTGAGGCTAAATGATTTAAAATTTACATTTGCACTATGTTCAACTGAATATATGACAATTTCCATTGAACCAGATGATACTGCAGATTGAAGAGGGCTACCAACGCACAACGTATTGAAATTTACATCAGCACCATGTTCAACTAAATATTTGACAATGTCTAGTGAACCAAATAATACTGCACAGTGAAGAGGACTACCAAGGCTACAAGATTTAAAATTTACATTAGCACCATGTTCAACTAAGTATTTGACAATGTCTAGTGAACCAAATAGTGCTGCAGAGTGAAGAGGACTACCAAGGCTACAAGATTTAAAATTTACATTAGCACCATGTTCACCTGAATATTTGACAATTTCCAGTGAAGCAGATGATGCTACATTTTGAAGAGGACTACCAATGGTAAAAGTTTCACAATTTACATCTGCACCATGATCAACTAAACATTTGACAATTTCTAGCGAACCAGATGATGCTGCATTGTGAAGTGGACTATCAACGGTACAGAATCTGATATTTACTCCAGCGCCATGTTCAACTAAATATTTGACAACTTTCAGTGAACCAGATGCTACTGCAGATTGAAGATGGCTACCAACGCTCAAGGTATTTAAATTTACATTAGCACCTTGTTCAACTAAATATTTGACAATTTCCAGGGAACCAGATGATACTGCAGATTGAAGAGGGCTACCAACGCTGAAGGCATTCAAATTTACATTAGCACCATGTTCAACTAAATATTTGACAATTTTCAGTAAACCAGATGCAAAGTGAAGAAGACGAACGTCGCAAAAAATGTCACCATTCGCATCAGCGCCATGTTCAATTAACCGTTTTACTTCGTAAAAATTTCCTGTTTCCGCTGCGATTAAAAGTTTGGACATATTTAGATATCTATAAAAACAATAAGCAATTATTGGATGAGGCTGAGCATGATATCAAGAATTATTCAGACCGAGGTCAATGTTATCTGCCGAAGCGAAGCTGAGGCGGATAACATAGACCGAGGTCTGAATAATTCTTGATATCATGCGAAAGCCGAATCCAATAATTGTTTTATTATACATTTAAAGACATGAGAAACGTATAAAACGCTTCCTGTTCATGAGGTAGGAAAAGTACAATTTGAATACCAAACACCTTGCACAAAGTCAAAGGTCAGCTAAATATTCTATTTCTACTTCTATTTACCCCTTTGTGGCTTTTTTCGTGCTTTCACTATCCTTATCTGCCAATAATTCGGAGAGTTCACTTTCATTCAGCGAAGCAAATCTGCTGTAGGCCATTGTTTGTTTGTTTTTTTCGCGCGCTTATAGGTTCAAGCTTTTGGCCGCGCAAGGGTTTAGGCACGAGAGAGTCCAATAATTTTTTTTTTGGATGCAAGTTCGATCCAAAAAAACAATTATTGGACGCTGATGACGTCATCGCCGAAAAATACGTAATAAATGCTGAATACTGAAAATTAGCCGGTGCTTTCTGACCAATTAGAAACGAGAATACATATTAAATGTATAATAATGGAAATTGACGTGAATTGTTCTATTTATATATAGATCATTACGACACTAAGAATACCGGTATTATAATGTGTAACTGGTGTTATAAAAATTGTGAATCAGAATATTTTAATTTCTGATACTACTATGGTTCAATTTTATGCTTCGGACTGTTGTTTGTAATGCTCTATTGTTCGATGGCATGGTGGATATCGATAGAAAATTTTAATTGTCTTAATTACTCAGGTTGGTATAAAAATCAATGGTCGTCAAGGACTGTTACTGTCCTATTCATATTTTTTACGGTTATTATTTTCTGCTGTTGGTAATAAATATTTTATCACTGTTATTATTTTAAAAAATACTGAAACCAAACAACTAACAAATAATAAAATAATATAAGACACGTCCTGTGTATACTACTAGTGTTCCAACTTATTCAACTTATTAAACTAAGATATTTATACTAACAACAATGAACTAAACTTTACTAATTAATTAGAAGGAAATGAGGCAAATACTTTAATCACATTATCTGCACGTTCATTCTTATTTCAAATTTTAACAGCTATTTCTAAATATTTCATCAACTAAGGTAAGGAGAATTTCAGCATTGGGGGAGTGATTATACATTTTATATCTTTGCTCAAAATGGGGGAAATCGTGTATCATAGGAATAAAACATTTCCGGTGGTTCATGCCCTAAAGCCTTCCTTGGAGAGGCCCTCTTGTTATAATTTTATAGTCCGTGTGTTGTGACCTTGAAAAGTGCCTAGAAAACGATTTTCATGATGCATGTCTTAGATCTGAAATACTTTCACAGGAACTAAAACTTTCGAACACGCTGATTTCAAATCCGAAAAGTTCTTACTCCGTAGACCCGCAGTTTTTTCACAAAATGCTATTTTATCTTCACTAATTTCACAACAAATTTTTTCATTGTTCAACGACACGGATCGATGACGATACACGATTATGTCACTCAAAAGGATCAATTTCTATTAACCATTCTTCCTTTAAACAAAAGACCAGTTTTGCTCGAATCATTCTGAGTTATGCAATCTTATGCGTGTTGGATGTAAACAACATAACTTGTCTACAACTTTGAGAAGGTACAGATAATTCCTTCTAAAATCCTTAGTTCTGGATCTATCTTTATAAAATCACAAGGACGTTAATGTCAAGTGTTTGTGCTATGTCTCTGGGATGAGAAATAATTTGGAGAGAGATATAAAACGGTAATCTATATGTAATGGATCAGCATTGAAATTTCCAACACGGTTTCCGAGGCGTAATTCAAGATTAACTTATCATTGCATTTGAACTAGTACATCAGTTGGTGTTATACTGTGCGATAAGCGAATATTATTGGAAAGAGGGCTTCTATATACGTTGAAATCATCAAATAAATAGCTCATGCACACATTTCTGCACCTTGTGGTAAGTTTACAGAGCATATTTTATACATTGGGACTGATCTTTGTCTTTGATGTGAACATTTATTCTCATAGTTTAAGGTTATTTAAGATTGATCCTGTACTAAGTCTTCTCATCGCTAGAAATCGCGGACATTTGAATCCCGAAACATCCCTTACGTCTATGTCCCTTATTACCCCTTTCGATCCCCGAAATTTATTATTCTAAATATAACTAAAAGCATTACTAAAAGGATTACAAAAAGGATTATTACAAAATGTAATCATACTAAAAGGATTACAAAATGCAAACAAACAAAAAACAAAAGAAAAGAGCTTTCGAATGATATATTTTGGGTCATTTTTGCCTAAAAAATCATCGCCAAACCGCGACATTAGAACCCGATGATCGTGTCTAATAAACGAACCTTCGATTTTATGTAAACTTGGAATGAAGCAAATACACATTGACACCACAGATTAAGATATGCGCACAATTGTTTTGGATACTAATATCTGCATATTATTTAAATATTACCGCACAGTTTTAAGTTCATCGATCATTAAGCCGTAATTTGACTTTGTAAAATGTGGATTATTGTCGTTTTGATAAATTAGTTAGAAATCCTGCCGCACATTTAATTGCGTTGTTGCCCAGTTTTAAGTATCGTAAATAATCATTATATTTTATTATTGGTTTTAGTTTTCTTTCTTATTTCCTTGATTAGTTCACGGAATTTTGTTTCCACAATGCACAATTTTAATTTTGTATGATTTTTAAAAGATATTTTATGTTAAAAGTGGATAACCATCTACATTCCTGATAAAATTTGAAAATAAGAGTGAACATGGGGACTGGGGCGAGAATGCATGCTGTATTCCAAATGTCCGCGGTTTCTAGCCATGTAGCAGCAACCATTCGACAATATTTCATTTTGACGCTGTCTTTGCCGTTACGTTGGCTTCGCGTTACTTTTGTTTTAAATAACTTGATCGCGTTAAAAGAGTTATTTTTCAGGCCAGTGACATAGCTAAAAGACTTTGCATTAATGTCCTTGTGATTTTATAGAGATATCTCTAGAACTGATGATTTTAGAAAGCGTTATCTGTACTTTCTCAAAGTTGTAGATTGTTTACGTCCAACACGCATAAGATTGCATAAATCAAAATGATTCGAGCAAAACCGATCTTTTGTTAAAAGGAATAATGGTTAATAGAAACTGGTCTTTTGAGTGACATAATCGTGTATCGTCGTCGATCCGTATCGTTGAACAATGAAAAAATTTGTTGTGAAATTGGCAAAGATAAAATAGCATTTTGTGAAAAAACTGCGGGTCTACGGAGTGGGAACTCTTCGGATTTGAACTAAGCGTGTTCGAAAGTGTTAGTTCCCGTAAAAATATTTCAGATCTAAGACATGCATCATGAAAGTGAACGATATCGGGTCACAACACGCGGACTATTAGGACTACAACAATGTATTGTTATTATACTTCTCAAATGATATCTATCCGATTTGAACATTTTTAAATGTATGAAATGATTTCAGGACAGTGACAACCAACAGTTTTCAAAGCATTTAATCCTAGTTGTGTAAACTATAGGTGTTGGTATTTCGTGGTATGATTCGATGTGGAATACTGGCGTCTTGATCCATGTTCGTTTACTTGATGCAATTAGGGGTGTTGGAGCGACTCGAAAGGTGTGGAGGGGGGCACTGAGTGTCCGCCGAAGGCTGGTGATATTCTATTCTAGGGATCCGGGAGCATGTGCCCGGAAAAATGTTAAAACTAGAGTTTCTGAAAAGCCATTTCTTGCACTTTAGATGAAAATTTGCAGAGTTCTAAAGGTAACAAAATCACATCATAAAATATCTCAAATTGCTATGTTTACAAGCGTAATTGAAATGATATCAATTAACTTGGTGGTGTATTATTGACCATTGTCAAAAGTGAGGGCCCACAAACATTTAGTCCCCCACACAACTAAAAAAAGGGGCCCCGCTTCCGACGCCCCTGAATGCCATTCTTAACAATTCTACCGGAATTGTGTCGTTCCTCTATGCTTTAAATGCATGTGTTTGAATCAATATATTATGCAAATCCTGTCAGCAAAAGATGGGACATCTTTCTGACAGAAGAGTTTTCACTAAAAGTATTCTAGATATTATTCCAAAACCTAGCGCTATCGCTACATGCAGCCATGCACCGTTTTACTCTAACTTAGCGTGATGTAAAGAACAATTATATAAGACTCCTTTTAAGCTTCCACTGGTTAAGAAAAGATGGGACATCTTCATAACCTGTCAGCAAAAGATGGGACATCTTTCTGACACAAGAGTGTTCATGCATTAAAAGTATTCTAGATATTATTCCAAAACCTATAGCGCAAGCTGCATCGCCTTACTCTAACTTAGCCTGATGTAAAGAATAATATGAGACTCCTTTTAAGCTTCCACTGGTTAAGAAAAGATGGGACATCTTCATAACCTGTCAGCAAAAGATGGGACATCTTTCTGACACAAGAGTTTTCACTAAAAGTATTCTAGATATTATTCCAAAACCTAGCGCTATCGATGTGGCATACTCCAAATTTGATATTTCAACTAGGTACTAGCCACATAGGTATACTAGCCACAAAAAATTGGATATTGTCAAATCTGAAAGCAAGGGGTACGGCTCATCTCCGCGTTTACTCATCACTAGCTCGCCCGGGAAATAATCTGGCGATGCCCAGCGTAATGACTAATGATATCAAATTTAGTTCAATGGGCCATTTTAGACTAATTTTCGATTCTTTTGAAAATGCTTATACGCAAGTTTAATTTAAACGCTGATATCTCAGTCAATATTTCGTGATATCTTATGTATAACCTATCAAAATTTAAGTTAGCCTTTTATGAATACAGCTACATTTATTTGAGCGACGTATAGCTCTTATAGTTTTTTCGCTATGGTAGATCAAACGCCTGAACTTTTTTGCGCCACCCGGTATATATATGTCAATAAATATTATTTGTCTTGTGCTACCTTGTATCAAAATATAGAAATGAGTATATTAAATAACGAATTTAGTATAATCAACTCGCGGTTGTGATACAGTAGCCCTGCTTGAAAGCCGCGGTATCTAGCATACGGTATACTAAAGAAATAATAACTGATTGCGTGCTGCAATACCTATAGGCTATGTAGCCTTTTGACTATTACCTAACCTTACTGATTGAAAATACTTCGCATTAATCTTTAATCTTTATTCTTTAATAAGCAGTCAGCAAAATATTGCCAGTTTGTTCGATCTTGATCTCCATCCTGAATCCATACACACGATTGTCAAGCAGAATGCACTCTTCTTCAGACCAGATTTTGGCGCAATTTGAACTTTGCGCGGCATTGTCTGCTAACATTATTATGAATTGGTGATGACAACCTGGTTTGTATGTTAGCTCAGTTAGTTATTTGCTACATCATATCTATGGGGTTAAATTTCATGCACGCATAAATTATTTCACTATGAATTCATTATACATGTCACCACTCTTACCACCTTGACTAATAATGCTGTGGTACGTAACTAACACCTTCCAAATAATTAAATTTATAGGTGTGCGGGTCGTCATTGAATTACGGCTATTTGATTTACAGATTTCTAAACAAACAGCTTCGAGACCATCAGGAACAAGATCATTTCTGGTTAAGGGACACTCCTTTGATGTTAGGCGGTCGCGCCGACATAGACCTGCATACACCCGCGAGAGAGCGGCAGCCATGTTCTTAGGTAAAAGCATTGTATTTTCCGAACATGAAGTATTTAAAGTAGTTGCCATGGTAACACGATAATTTTTTAAGAATATTCTTAATACAAATGGAAATCGCTTAAAAATATCACTTTTAATTACAAAATTATCAATTTCCCAACATATATATGTAAGGTATGATATTATACGTAATATAAGCTTCAATTTAAGGTAAAATTCAACCACAAACGCTTCGCAAAACGTTCTAAAGTGTTTTTTATAAAACTAAACTGCCTTTATTCTTTAATTAAATGGCTTTATTGATAAACTTCGAGTTTGCAATAAAATGATTTCAAATTCTAGCATGCAAATAACTTTGCTTTCTTTTTTATTTAAAAAAATTCAATATAATAAAAAAGGGAGTCAATATTAAAGATACACTGAAATGGGGCCCGATAATACGATATGCTCTCAGTTTAGTTGTTTCATATACGCGAAGGCCGTCGGGTTTTAAAGCAATTATAAAATCAATATTTAAAACAAACGTACCTTCGTTAACGTCGGCTCCCTTCTTTTAGCCGATTCTTTCGCCATTTCTTTCTTGAAATTTACAAAATCTTGCAAAAATGCGAGCAAAATTGAAATATATTTGCAAGAAATTTATCAATCATCAAATAAAGAAATGTTCGCTATTTCGCTGTCGTCATGCAGTCGTTATAATGCAAACTTTAAATTGGACCAATCACAGTGTTTGCTATTCATGACAGTCCGCCATATTTTTGAGATCAGTGAGGATGACCACCCACGGTTGGTGACCCACGCCCGCGATATTTGATGAACTTTAGACTTCGCTAATGCTTTCGTTTCCCCGGGTGTAAATAGCCGGGGGGAATTAGTACCCTCGCACGGCGCTTCGCGCCGTCGGCTCGGGGACAATAGACAGATTTAGAAAAGATGACGCGACCTCTAAGACGACGTGGATGTCGTCATTTGGCGCCAACTCACGTCAGCTTCTAGTTTGCGACGTCGTCTTTGATGAATAGACCTTTCCCCTTATAACCAAAATTTTGATCTAGGCAAGTCTAGAAATATATTTTATCACAGCTTGAAAGAGCATCACAAAATTAGTAATATTCCAAAGTTTCGTTGCGAAATGTTGTAAAATGAGGAAAATAGAGCCTTGCGAAGCTTGCAATTTTCAGTCATTTTGCATTACAAACGGGAAATTGCAGCCCCAACACCCGAATCGTATGTCAATTTCCCGTTTGTAATACAAAATGACTGAAAAACGGCAAACTTCGCAAGGCTATATTATCCGCATTTTTCAAGATTTTGCAACAAAACTTTGGAATATTACTAATTTTGTGATGCTCTTTCAAGCTGTGATGAAATTTTTGTCTAGATCGAAATTTTAGTTATAAGGGGAAAGGTCCATTCATGACGCGAAAATACAATTTTCACGTCCTCTCTAGAACGTCACAGATTTTTGCTTTTTATGAAAAAAATATGAGACTATGCATAATAAAAATCATCCTAAATTGTTCCCAATGTATTGTTTAACAATACTAGCTAAAGTTTTTCCATTGACAAGGTCAATTTTTCTTGTATTACGTTAAATTTTGGACGTGTTGATTTTCGACAAATAGTTTCGATTGCCATAACAAATCAACAAAACTGCAAGCATTGTTAATAACCACTTCAATACCGCTAGTATTCTTCACCAAAACTAACATTTTAGAACAAACTGAACCGAAATTATATTAACAACTGTTTAAAATCGGGAAAACTTGGGAAGGTAGAAGAATAAAAGCACTTATAAGCAGCTAAAACTCAATCAATTTTAGTTTCTCTGTCACAACAGTGCGAAAAAGTAGGACAAGTAAAAATACGCTTTCCAGCGTGAAAAACTATCGTAAACAGTATTAAATTTTACCAATATAAGCACTAATGCCATATTTATACTAAACAGTTGAGAAACTTGATTGAATAGGCTACAAAATAAAGCATTTAGCTCGTAAACAATACCTGCAGCTATTGTATTTATTCCAAATGATGCAACAAAGTTCACTTTTCAAAATACCGAAATATACGTCCTTTTCTAAAAAAACTTATTGAATGTTCATACTAATTCATCAGGAAACATTTGGCCAGTATTATTGCACATAACTTGACAACTGATTGAAAACAATACAGGGATGAACAGGTAACAAGAAAACAAAAATTTGCTTCGAAAAAGACAAAGAAGTAGACTTGCTCCAAGTCTCTCTTTGTGGACATCTATATATTGTACATCTATTTCTATGTCTATATTGTACGTTACATGACGTACCGCTGAGGGGGAGAGGAGGAAAGAGAGACTTGTAACATCTGGCAGCAGACATACTTCCGGCTGGTCGAAATTGACCAGCTGGCCGCATTGACTTATCATGTGTTTAGGGGGGGAAGGCGACATCTGGACTTTCAGAGTTATTTGTTTAACATAAGTAATTTTGTATTCACGAGATTTCTTGTAGATTTCACATCACTTCTGACTGCGTGCATTTGGAATTTTGGGCATTATTTTTGCAATTTATTGTAAACAACGATTATAAGAAGAACGGTAAATTAATACAAATAAGCCGTAATCGTCATAAACCTCGATGACCACCAATGTTTTTGTGTTTGACAATTTGTATTTCATTAGATATTTATATGCAAGGTCAGTACTCAGTATTAACCGGTTATCATATATAATGATCATTCTAATGAATTGATAAAACGAATTATATCAAATAAAAATTATGTACGGCCGCGTTTTTTACACGGCCACTACTGAAACGTTTAGCTTGATTGTTGAATAAATCGATGACTTTTGCTTAGTTGCTTTCTGTTTTGAGCTTAACCACCGTTTAAGCTAAACGGCTTGATACAACTGGCCCCAGATAAACATTTTTGTATTATCGAGATCGAAACTATAGTAAATTGGAAACCGTTTCAATAATAAAAAACGTACAATGAACTTATGAGCTTGCGAAAATTGTCACGCCCAAAATTTATACACATTTTTATTTTGTTAAAAATTTGTGTAAATTTTGGGCGTGACAATTTTCGCATGTTCATAAGTTCATTGTACGTTTTTTATTATTGACACGGTTTCCAATTTACTATAGTTTCGAT